TCGGGGTGCTTCTCAAATTTCGACTTTTTAACTAGCCATTTTTGACGAAATTTTTAAAATATCATTGGAAAAGTATTGTTGTCCTGAGCTCAAATTTAAAAAAATATTTCACCTGTGATCATTTTTTGTCAGGTTATGCGGGCTTAAAAATGACCATTTTGGCCAATTTGGGACTAACGCGTAAGCGGAGAGTTAATCCGTCTTAGAAATCGTTCCAAATTGGTTGAAAGAAGCTTATTTGCCATAATTGATTTGTTACAAGGCACAAAATCTATCCTTTTGTGCTTTATATGGCGTGTGGGATGATGATTTTTCAAGAAAAAACTTCAAATTTTAGAGAAAAAAAGTTTAATTTTGTTTTATTACATTTAACTTTTTAATATTATTGTTGCTCCATAAACCTTAAAAAGAAGTCGGAACATTCAGTGCTTCACCTTGGTACGAGCATTATTGTTAAAATTTTAGCAATAAGATCTCTTTTTTTATTTTTGTGAAAATGGCGGAATATTTGTGCTCGGGGTGGTTTTTTCTTCAGAAAATTGTCTGAAGAATAAAAAACTTCGACTTTTTAAATAGCCATTTTTGGCAGAATTTTTTTTATCGGCCGAAAGATACTGTTGCCCTGAGCTCAATTAAAAAAGTGTATATTTTACCTGTTTTTTCATAAAGTTATGAGGGTTTATAGATTGCCAATTTGACCATTTTGGGATAATTAACGCGCGATATGTTTCAAGCTGTTAAAGCGTAACCGGAGATTTAATCCGTCTAAGAAATCGTTTCAAATGGGATTGAGGCATGCTCTTTGGTCTATTTAATACTGTGCTGTATGCAAAATATATCAATTTGTACTTCACATAGCGTCTGCGGGGATAATTTTCAAAAAAAAATGAAATTTCGATTTCTTAAATTAATTTCATCAAATATTTTCTTTTAAACTACTCCATAGCAATTAAAATGCTGTCGGAACTTACAGTACTTCGCCTTGATATGAGCAGTGTTATTCCCACTTTCAAAGAAAGTGACGGAATAATTGTGCTCGTGGTGGTTTTTATTTCTTCTGACAAAATCCGACATTTTAACTAGCTACTTTTGACGGAATTTTTTTTATATCATCTGGAAAGTATTGCTGTCTCACGCTCAAATTAAATAAAAATTACGTGGGTTTATTTTTCTTAAAGTTATGGGGGTTTAAAAATTGCCAGTTTGGCCAATTTGAGAAATTTAACGCGCCATATATTTTGCGCTATTAACGCGTAAGCGGAGACTTAATCCGTCTTAGAAATCGTTCTAAATTGGTCAAAGCAGTAATTGCTATATTACTAGGAGCAAAATGTATCATTTTGTTTTTCATATGGCGTGTAGGGATGATTAAAAAAATCTCGGCTTTTAAAAAAATCATTTATATATTTTTTAAATTTGGTTTTTCTAAACCGAAGGCAGCTCCTTAGTCCTTAAAAGGCAGTCTGCAGACTTGAAATTAAAATGCATAATCAGGGTTTGTAATAATCAGGGTTTTGTAATAATCAGGGTTTCATAATCGAAATAATCAGGGTTTTGTCCTAATATGTGCAGTCTTGTTGTTTCTGTGTTCAAAAATTCCCGGGTCGAGGTCTGCGACTTAAGAAAAGACTTTGCAAGTCGCGCCGCATGCCATTTTCGGACTGGATTTCGTAGGCGCGCCGCGGGCTTAAGTCGCACCGTCAGTCTTTTTTTAAGTCGCGCCTTCAGTCTTTCCTTAAGTCGCGCCGCTTACGTCTTTTCTTAATTCGCGCCGCTTATGTCTTTTCTTAAGTCGCTCCGTCAGTCTTTTCTTAAGTCGCGCCGTCTGTCTTTTCCGTAAGTTGCGCCGTTAGTCTTTTCTTAAGTCGCGCCGTCCAAGTCTTTTCTTATGTCGCGGCAGTTTATTTTCAGTCGCGCCGGTCGCGCCATTACTTTAGGCCGCGCCGGTTCCAACGGTGTTTTGCGTCGCGCCGGTCGTGGTGGTTTCTTGGTCACGCGGGTCTTCAATTGCCAAGTTTCGTTCGCGCCGGTCTGGAATTGCCAATATGGTGTCGCGCCGGTCTGGAAATACCAACTTGAGTCGCGCCTGTCTTTTTTCAAGCCGCGGACCTCGACCCGGGTAGCCATTCTGACTTGCATATAACGCTAAGGAGCCATATTACAGGCTTTTTTTAACAGGGATGCGTGTATATCCTAGCGTTGTTCCTCGTTTTCCTTTAAACAAAGATTATAACAGATGCATTCTTGATATCAGGGGAATTAAAGGACAAGGATTTGGTCTTGGACAGTGCTCCATTTTTACTTCGATAACCTCGACGTCACAGAGGATCGCATGATATTTTGGTTCTATGTTACGGCATGATATTTTCAAAATCAATTTTGATAGTTAATCAGACGAAACTCAACCGTTGGTTGACTGGAATATATCATGCCGTAACATAGAACCAAAAAGGTACGGCATGAAGTTTTACAACTTATATAATTTTTGCAGAAGTTTAATTTTAAATCAAAAAAGAAAACCAAACTTTTGACTTTTTTCTAAATTTTTTTCGTTTTCCTCATGTAATAGTTATTTTTAATTCTAAGAATCTTTTAATCGTAATTTAACCATTTAGTTGAAAAAATTATTTCATCAAAAAATTCATGCATACGCAGAGGGGCGGATCTAGGGTTTTCCTGAGGGGTGAGGTGGATTTTAAAAGCGTTTTTTTTTTTCGGAAAATTTTGACCAAAAAAATTTTTCTGCGCGCTCCCTCTCAAAATAAGTATATATTGGCGCCAAAGGCGCCTTTAGACAACTTATAGGGGTCGGTCAGCCAAAAAAAGAGATCTCAAAGTAGAACAAAGGAGGGACGCTTTGGTCGGCAGGGGGTCGAATCCCTCAAGAGAGCGTCCGTCCCCACCCTCCCCCCCCCCCCCTAAATCTGCTGGTACCTACACAACAAGTGTAGCGAGAAAAGTTTTTTGAAACATTCCTCTCACACGCCATATATATGGCACCAGACAACAAATATAGTAGCAAGTTAGCTTAATTTTGATCAAAAAAGAAATATCAGGTTTGATAGAAAACTCTCTAATTAAATTTATCGGTTTATTTAGTTTATTCCATTTTCTAAATATTTCTGTCTGCAGATGTTCTAATTTTTCTCATACATGCTAGTTTTTTCTGAAATGCAAGCGCTGTTCGAAGGAGAGCGCAATTTGACTGATTTTTAAACAAACGATTAAATTAAAATAAATCAAGAAGAAAACGTTTTCTATTTTACTTTTAATTACAATATGCAGCAAGAAATACACAGTCCGTAATACTTTCAGAGAAATGATGACACCATGCAAAGAAAGCAAATATCATGTTTGAAGGATTTTGAAGCCCACTTTTTTCTAGTTTCCTTCTTAAACGTCATCGAAAGTTTGTTGTTGTTGTTTTTGTTTTTGTTGTTGTTGTTGTTGACGTTGTTGTTGTTTGTTTGTTTGTTTTCTTGTATTTATCTACATGGACTCATCGTCCATCATAGGAGCACCGCCGGGTGCCATGCCTCCCCCTGGAGCACCACCGCCGCCCATGGGGGCACTGATTCCGAGAGAGGCGAGCAGAGCGTTGCGGTAGTCTGTCAGTTCCTGTCGCGATGCTCCCGGAGGAGGGGGTTCAGGGGTAGCCTCCGTCAGTTGGTAGGTGATGGCGAACACCACGAGAAGCACTGCAAATCATAACCAGAAAAATTATAACCACAAACATGTTTTCAAGAAGTGAGCATTTCGTTTATTATCTACAAAAAATCTAAAAAATTTCCCATCTTGAAAGAAAACAAGAAAAGTTTAGCTACCTACCGAGTTGCGTCTTCAAATTAAACAAAATTTAATTGAAATTTTGAATTATTTTGTTTTTATGCCCTTTTTTTATCCAAACTTGAACTTGAACTTTTACAATTAAATCGGCTTGGAGAATACCAAAAAAACGTCAGCTCGCTTGTCGGTTGGCATCATATACATTATTCAAAAAAAAAAAAATTTGGAAACACCATAAAAATTTTTATTCTCAAATTTTGCTGCAAAACTTACCAAAAACTTTTCTCATCATGATTGAAACGTTTAGTTTAGTCTTAAGCTTCTATCGCAACTGAGTTTTAATGGCTGAAACTTCTATCGCAACTGAATTATAACTGCTGAAACTGTTTAATTTTTATTCTCAGATTTTGTTGCAAAACTTACCGAAAATTTTTCTCATCATGATTGAAAGGTTTATAGTTTAGTCTTAAACTTCTATTACAACTGAATTTTAATTGCTGAAACTGTTTAATGAAAATTTAAATCTTGGTTAGATTTTAAAGTTTTTCTGCAAGCTGCGTTTTCCGCTTGTGTTAGCTTCGGCAAATCATCCAAATGATAAAAAACAGGCCGAAATTTTTCATCCTTCTTGCAAACGCTTTAAGACATGAGAAAATTGCTGTAATTAGCAAAAAATGTCAGTATCGTCACAGTTCCATTCCGAAAATTTGTTGGCTTAAGCTCTTACCAATGTGTCTTTGCAACAACCGAAACTTTCCTTCTCAAAATGCTTTGCTACTTAAAACCGCTGTTTCTTCAGTTTTCATGTCTGATCTAACCATTTCGCCTTCAAAGCAAACAAAACGTTACGCATAGCTGGTTTTAGAAATGCCGTTGAAATGGATTTTATTAAGCAACAGCTTGAGAGTTCAAAATTTTCTAACTATCAAATGTTTGATCACGAGCAAAATAAAATTCTGAAAAAAAAACAGATAATGTTAGTTTCTATAAACTCAATTGTACTCTATCAATTTTTCAGCAGCTGCAAAAAAATAACGCGAGGTAATCGTAAACGTTAGCAAAACAGGTTAGAAAAGGGAAATACACAATCAAATTTTTGAACACGAAAAAGCAAACAGGTATTGCAAAAAGCGTCAAAGTTCGAAAATATTTCAGGCTGATATGAAAATTTTCCCATTACCCAAGTTCTTTTGACTTCAGCCACCTGATTCCAAAAACTCTGGAAAAGTTAGTGGTCGAATTAAGTGGCACAACTATTTATTAAAGAAGAACAAGACTGCTAGTGAAGGTAGGAGCCCTAATGTTCCAAACGCCCTTTACACCTCCATCAATTGATTTTTTTGAAATAAATTTAGAGTTATTTTTACACTTCTCTCAAAACACCTCAGATTGGTAGCTCTCCCAGAATTATCATTCAAGATTCCATTTGATTGCTTTTACAAAACGACTCTCGCAATGCTTGATTGAAAGTATACTCATTGAGATTTTATCAATTTTGTGTCAACAGCGACAAAAAGATCTAGAAAAAGATTAAAAAAGGTGATAAAAGTTTTACGACTAAAACTGTGCTGAGAATCAGGGCCAAAGCATCAGAACATAACCCTGGAATTTCCGGCTGCCCTTGAACGTCTTTGAAACAATTTTCAAAACTTCAATTAAAAAATATATGGTTTTTTAATTGAAGTTTTTAATATATTTTAGTTTTTTTTCTGGTATTTTTTAAAAACTCCCTCGTCACGTTATGTCAAATGCAAAGAAATTTTCTTAGCTTCTAAGGTATAAAAGCGCAAAAGAAAACCAGATATCCTGTCTCAAATAAGTTTGATCAGTTTTGAAACGGTTAAATAACCGCTTAAAATTTAGTACAAAACATCTCAAAAATTAATTGTTTCAAACTAGCCAACTTTGCAATTTGCAAACCCTGTCAATAGTTCAAAAAATGATCACCGATAATTTTGTATGAGCTCGAGACGTGAAAAATTGAAAGGAAATAAAAACCAAGCCGTTCAAAAGTAAACGTAAGAATTATTCCGTCAGTTAAGTTTATATCAGCCGGAACCAATGTTCAGTAGCTGCTGTGGGGCTTGGCTAAGGCAGGAAGGTTTTTCGGTCAACACAAGTCAATATTCAAAATATCCTGAATACCAAAAGTTTTGACCCAATTTTGCGCAGAAGAAAAATTGGAAGAATATTTATAAAAAAAACATATGTATTATGAGAAACAAATAAAATCATAAAAAATGATTTTGGATTTAACTCACAGTTAAAAACAGTACAGAAACTGACAAAAAAAAATGATTATTTTGAATTTTTGGCGCAAAGAAGGTAAGCAAGAAGGTGGAATATTGTCATCTCGTATATATAGGTGTCTTACCTGCACTGAAGGTTTATGGATAATAATAGATTATATTGGATTTTCATTGTCAGTCTCTGCAAAATACACAAAAATTGGCTTTAATTGATTAAAAATGGATTATAATGATACTATTTTTAAAGCAATTAAATCCCATTGTAATTGTTTGTAATCAATTATAATAGATTGTTTTTCAGCTCATTTTCAAAAAAAACAATCATAATAATCAATCGGTGTGCTACAAATTTTTCGGTGTGCTGTTTCAGTTTTTCATAATAATGTTAAACTTAAGTTAGTTATTTTATTCTCTTGCTAAATTCAATTTTTCATTAATTTTAATCGTGTTAATGAAAATTTATAAAAAATCACGCATTTTTGTTATTATTTCAATTGAGTTTTATTCGAGTTACCTGTCCCGGTGGGTGTGTTTAGTGTTTAGTGGGGGTGTGGTAAACGCGTGGGGAGCGGATGGTCCTGGTTCAAATGTGGGGAACGAGGAGATGTAGGGGGCTTAGGGGGGACATAAGGGGGACGTTTTGGACAGGGGGGCTTTTTTTTTAAAAAAAATTACTAGATATTGGCCTCTTGAAAAGTACTAAGTTTTGGCCGCCCATGTATGAACGTATTCGTTCGAGTTTTGCAGAAATTTGCAAAAACATAGTCATTATTTACAAAATTTAATCAATTTTCAAGGGTTTCATTTACAAAAAAAATCCATTATAAAGAAAACAAAAATGGATTATAACCGATTATGATGGATTTTAATGGGTGTTTATTTTTCGAAGATAATCTAATAAAATGGTTTAAAAATCAATTACGTTGTCTAAATTTGCCATGATAATGGGTTATATAGACAACATTTTAGTCTACAAAATCCATTATAATCGACTTTTATCCATGAAACTTCCTTGCGGGTACATTGTTGTATGAAAACCAGACTTCTTTATTCACTGAGAAAAAAAGCAACAGACTTCAGGCTTAAATTTGCATTTTTGTAATTTTATATAAGAAACTGACAGCTAAAGAAACAAAAACCGGGTGAACCAAGACAATTGCAAGAACAAAACGTATCGGAGCCGCACATAGTGAAACCAGATTAATCAAACCAGTGCAAAATTTTGACTTTTTGGCGACTGCTCTTGTGTATCTGACGTCATTTTTGGCGATAGTTTTCAGTTTTGTTTTCGAATTTCCTCACATGAATATCGAACAACAGAACAAATTTTTACTGCTAACAAACTTTCAATCGCCATCAAATTTTAAAAACTTTAATGCAGAAGTGATTAGTTTTTTCATTAATTAATTGAAGAACAAGGTTTTAAGGTTTTTTGAGTCCTTTTTTTTTGCACTTACCAATTTTTTGGAAGCTAATTTTTTATTTCTTTTAAAATAAAATAAAATTTTATTGTAAAAAATTCGAACATTACAGATCCTTTTTGATAAGAGTTGTGCTATCTTTCAAACAATAAATGATTTTTTTTTGCTTGACAAGTTTCAGATTTTATATCAGCACAAAATTGTATGTATAAATTTTTATGGAAATACGGTTTTGGTAATACGCAGTCGATAAGTTTGATGATGGTTATAATTAAAATTTAGTATCTATTTAATTTTTGCCTTAGATGCATGGGTAAAAGCATCTTGACAATGTTTGTACAATTTTAATGTACAACTTGATTAAAAAGCCAAACACACCTTGGTTCAAATCTTGGCTCAAGCACTTTAAGATTCCAAAGTTTTTAATTACTAAATTGACACCTTTTTGATTAAATTTTATGAAAGAAAGCAATGATACATGCGAAAGTTACAAAACTTTTTTTTTGCATAGTCGTCATCGCAAATTTTTTCTTGTAACCACCCAGAATATTACATCCAACAAACATAGATAGTACCGTACAGCAATGCCATTAAAATTGGATAAATCAATCACATACAATTTCTTACAACTCAAACGCTTTGTTGTTCAATCTAGGCAAATGTTTGAAATGTCAACGTGCTTCCAGATTCACTGTCTTTTTTCCAAAGATAAATTATTTTGGAAAATGATCATGAAAATTCATGCCCAAATTGTGCCCGTTGTAATGAATCAGAAATTACAAAAAAATATTGCGAGTCATTTTCCGATTAGATCAGGCTAGCCTGTTATGCAACCCAACGAAAACTGACAAGTTTTTGAAATGTCTGAACATGTTGGAACCAGTTCAAAACAAGTTTTATTATATCCTATTATATTTTCTATTACTATCACTGTAAAATACTTAGAACTAATCAATCATGATCCATGAATAAAACTTACGAGAAGTTGTAAGGCTGAAACTATTTATAGTTTCAGCCAGAGAAGATTAAATTCAACTTAGCAAACAGTTGTTCTTCCTCAGAACAGTTTTTTTATTCTAAACCTCGCAAATACCAGTATACGCTAGATCTACTGAGAATAGGAGATTTAAGAGTAAGATTATGATTGGTATTAGACTAAGAAGTTGCACGAACCTATCCGGCCGATAAATAAGATAGCGTGACGAAAAGACGGCGCACCTTATCCGAAATTACTCTATGAGAAAGTCACCCCGGACATGAACTCAATAAGTAATTTTTAGTGTACACCTAGGTGCCTGACAACCAAATTATATCCAACTTACCACAAATATTTTGCAAAATTTGGTTTAAAAGTAATTCGCGGATGTTTAGACATTTCACCTCCATCAGTTTCCCTTTATAAAGCTCAAAAACTGAAGAAGAAAGTTTGCACAATTGAAAAACAAGTGTGCAAAAACGTCTTTTTTTAGGGCAAAATTGGGGTTCAAATTTTGCAAAAAAAGCAAACTGCACCAAAACAACTCTCTGAATTTTCAACAATGTTTTTTGCTTTTGTATCAAGTTCGTATCATTTTCGAAGAGACCTAAACTTTACTCAGCTAATTGTTTCTCACTTTCTGTTTCATGGTCAATTAATGTATTGAGGTCATAATGAAAATCATAATATTGTCAATGTTTGGATAAAAAATGAAAGTAAACTACTTCCAAATGAAACACTCTTTATTTAATCTGAATATTTGTTGTTTTCATCCGAAACGATTTGAAAGAAATAATGTCTCCAAAATATTTTCTCTTTTCACAATTAATGATAGTTTTAGGTCTTTCAAATATAAGTTATTTATCGGCTAGTGTAGACAAGCGAGGAGAAAGTCAAAGATATTCTAGTAAATTTAACTCATTTCTTGTAAATGGTCTAAATGCTACAATCCCGAGACCATTTTTTGTTAATATTTCGCTTGAGGATGAAGATGTTTACTGTGGCGGATCCATCATAGCGGCACAGTGGGTATTAACAGCAGCTCACTGTCTTACGGATTTTAACAGTAAGTAAGCATTTGGTCATAGTGTTCTAATATAGTTGATTCGAAATGAATCCGGCAAAAAAAAATTCTTCTCATTCAAAAAGTAAGCTCAATTAAAATTTTGGAACTTTCGAAAATTAAATTTTACAATAAATTAAGTTTTGTAACTAAAAAGATTCACAACCCCAATTACGATAAAAAAAATAAAGAAAGACAATTACTCTGCAAGGTGCACAGAACTTCGGACCAAAATAATATGGAAACTAAGTAAAAAGGGTTAATTTCTGTCGTTTTTCTTCAATTTAAAGTCGTTTTTATTTCGTGTTCTGATTTGATGATATGAACCAAATCCTGAATATAGACATTTTCGGTAGTAATGATTGATTAGGCGTATTATAGAACAGTTTTCATCAAAAAAACAGAGAACAACGGAGTCAAGGTTTTAAAAAAATCCTAATTTTAAGCATCCTTAATACTTATAATTCTAAGCTAATTCCTTAGTATAAGCAGAAATGTTTGTTGAATTTTTTTATAAAAAAGAATTTTTTTCCAAAAAAACTCTTAGAACAGTGAATTTTCAAAAATTGATTTTTCATGGACAAAACAAAATTTCATCGGCATTATTAGCCTTTCTCGAAAATAGTCAAAAAATCAATTATTTCAAATCAGTTTCAATCAGTTTTTTTGTTCCGAACATTGAAAATGGAGAAAAACTTTGTAATCGGGCGCGTTTTAGTTTTTTTGTTCGGACTTTTGTAACGAAAGTAACGGAATACTTGTTCTCGGGTGATTTTTTTCTTCAGACAAATTTGGACTTTTTAACTAGCCATTTTTCACGGAGGTTTTCTGTATCATTCGAAATGAGTTGCTGCTGAGCTTAAATTTGAAAAGATATGTTTCACCTGTGATCGATTTTCGCTAAAGGGTTTAAAGATTGCCAATTTGACCATTTTGGGACAATTCACGTGCGCTATTAACGCGTAAGCGGATATTTAATATGTCTTGGAAATCGTTCCAAGCTGATGGAAGCAAGCACAATGGCCATAACTGGTTTATTCCCAGAAGCAAAATTTATCATTTTGCTTTTCATATGGCATGTGGGTTGTTGATTTTCGTAAATAATCTCAAATTTAAAAAAATGCTTTATATTTTCTGATATTTAATTTTTTAATTTTCCTTAGACCGTAAAAAACAGTCGGAACATTCAGGGTTTTGCCTTGATCCGAACAATCATATTTTTTTCTTTTTGTTTTCCACGCAAAATCAGGTACCCCAAACAATCATCGGACTGGGATGAGTATTATATATGGACGAATAATGATCATAGCTAATGTTTCAAAGATAGTTAGCATGATGTCAGCTTGTGCTGCAAAATCAGATGACGTCGAGAAATGTAAATTGTTATAAAAAACATTAGGTTGTTTTTCTACCTGAAAAACTATTTTTATTATGATTTTTTAATTTTATGATCAGTTTTATTAACAGCTGTAAGTGTTTTCAAAAAAATTTCCAAATCAAAAATAAAGGATAAAAAGTATTGACCAAAAACAATTTTTTTTATGATCTTTTTTTGTAGATTTTATATTTTTTCTGTGTTGTAATCGGACAAATTTAAATTGATGAGAGCAAAAAAATTTTGGCTATCAAAATTTTTCTGTGTTGTGGGTCAGTTTATCAAGTTATGCTAGTATTAGGTTTGCTGCCGAATTTTCAAAAGGGTAAAATTTGAAAATAAAGCGAATCAATCTCAGAAATTTTTTGGATAAAACAGCCAAGTTTAAGATTCATAGGTCTTGCAAAATTCGAATTTTGTCGGTTATTTTTTAATCAAAGCGGGATTCTCACTATAGTTTTTGGTTACTTTCATATTACATTGTGGATCAATTTAGACTTGGAAAATAGCTTACAGTTCTCAGTTTAAGATTTACTTTCAACCGTCTTTGCCCTATTATCAATACATTCAAAACTGATCCAGCAAGGAAACAAAAATGCAATCAAAGAACAAGGAACGATCAAAGAAATTGAAAGAACAAAAAATAACAGAAGAAGGGTCCTTATTGCGGAATCGGTTTTCTATTCACAAAATGCTCAGTATCTGGGTGACCAAAAACGCTAATCATACAATTTTCATATATAGAAATATGCTACTAATACACTTTTCATGAAATTCCATAGGTACATGGAAATAGTATGACCAGATTTTTTTCCATAAACCCAAAATATTGATTTTTTAAAATTTAATTTCCCAAAATTTTTCGGTTGTGTTTGTAATCGAACACAAGTGCAGAAACCTTGGTTACTCAAACGTTCACTAACCAAAAGTTTGACTGTCTGGCAAAAAATAATGCATTGGAAACTGCCAGAAATGTCTTAACTTTGTCTTATACAATTGATTCGAAAGAATTAAACCTGTAAGCTATGGCAAAAATTTTCAAAGATGATTTTTTTCATAGTTTGAGTTTTAGTTATTCATGGATTGATTAAGGCATACATTAAAAAGCCATACAAAATGAGTAGGTGTAGTTTGTTTCAGTACTACATTTGTTTTGCGGTTGAAAAAATGTTTAAAAAATTATTAAGTGAAGTGACTTAGAAAAAACTAAAAAAATATAGAAAAAAAACTTTACACCGGCTTTTTTGCCAATACACGAAAAAATGTCTTTAAAATTTGATGATTTCAAGTTAGCAAACTGTATGAAATTTGTATAATTCGTATTTTTTCATAGACTTAGTTTATGGAATTGTATTTAAAGCTTTTTTAGTCTAAGGTCTAAAGATGTCAAACCGGGTCTGGCCTCGTAACGATCAAGATTGACTTTCTTATCCCAAAAAATCGAATTCACTTACTTGACGAAAAGTTTTCACAACCTAATTTTAAATGTTTTGTTTGGCTGGGTGTTTTCCAATCGTCTGCGATTTAATGAGTTCTAATTGTGAGACCTAAAACACGTTAGAAGTCTCGATTAGACTGCAGTATAATCATGTCTCGACAGGCCTTGATATCGCATCGATCTTGTCGAAAGAATCTACTTTAGCTTTTTTTGACTTAAAGTTTAATTTTACCTCCCAAGGTATAATGATTACGAAAGACGAAAATCTTTAAATTGAAATCATTAATTTTTTGCTTACAGCCAGTAAAATGTTGGTGCATGTTGGAGACTTCAGAAGTACAGAAACCTTGAAGAAAGAGTTCAAGGTCAGAGAAGTTTTCACACACCATGATTTTCTTGGCAGGTGAATTTTGTTTTTGGTTTTTCTATTACATTTTTATCAGACTGATTGGTAGGTGTAAAATTATGAAGCGAATGCCAAATTGATCAAAATTATTCAAATTAGTTTTCTTAAAAAAAGCTAAAATTTTTACCAAAAGCAAAATGCTATTAACAATTTAAACGAGAATTCCAAAAGTGAAAACTACTTGCCAGTTTTTGGTGGTTTTCGCGTTTCGTATGCGTCTGTACTCCGCGTTATCACCAAAAATCAGTCAGAAATTTTAAAAGTTTTTGTCTCAGGAATAGCAAGACTCCAGACGTAATCGCCAATTTATGCATTTTTAATCGTTCTGGTTTTCGAACTTTTTTCTCTGATATTGTCCTCGTTTCTGGCAAAAATTTGTGCAAAAATAAAAATTATTCGAGTCGAACTTATTCATCCCAGGTGTAGAAAATACTTTTTTTCTCTCTCATCAAAAACAAGTTGTTTAAGTTTACCATAAATATGATGAAGGCGCTTCTGTATCATGAAGTTGCTCAAAGTCTTACTATTTTTGGGGAGTAAAATAAAGAGACAGCGATGGCAAAGAAAACAAATGAAAACAAAGCTACAGGAAAAAAAAAACTTGATTAATAATTAGGTTCAAAGTCATCATTGTTTCACATTTTTAATACAAAATCCTTCCGAGTAAGTGATAATAACTTGTCAGCATGATCCTTTTCAATCAAGTACCTTAACTCAATAACAGGGTTTTCTTGTTTATGGGTTTTAATTGGTCATTGGAAGTTCGTATCGACTTAATCAGATAAATAAGATTATGAGAAATATTCCAAATATTTTGAAATTGTAAGCGCACAAACGTGTTTTTTAACTTTTGCCTGGTTTCAAACAGCTTGTTTCTTGTTGACCAGCCCGTTAGGGCGCCGGGGAAATTATTCTCAAAAAGTGAGAAAACAAAAAATTGAAATCATGGTTGTGTTAGCGCAATTACAAGTAAGGTAACGAAAAAAAGTAACGCAACTGAAAAATTTTATGATTTTATGATTTATTCAGGATTAGACAGCTACGAATAAAGCATTTCTGATGCAAGGGGCTCATTGTATCTAGATTTCTGCAGTTTTTTGTTTCTATAAGTACAAACACACACACTGTCTGTCTGTTGTTTTCCCAAAGAGAATGAAAGTGTTTCATGAGCACAAGATTGCAGCAAAAACTCATTTTGGAAATTATTTCGTTGCACCACTTTTTTTTACTTAGTATAAATCATCAGAAAGACATATTCATCAAACAAAACTAAATATCTGGGTTCAACCCAGAGATCTGAATGACGCTTGGGAAAACCATTGATCAGGATACGGAGAAAACCCAAACTAAAAACTGCATGTGAACTTTTTTGAAAGATTTTGATCGGAAATTGCGTTTTTTTTCCGAGTTCTCCCCACAAAAATGAGGTCAGTCTCACCAAAGACGACTTTAGAAAGGCAGTTATAGGGTTGATAGAGCGAATACTGATGATGGAAAATAGTATCAAAGCAGGATTCTTCTGAAAAAAAATTTTCGGCACGCTACTGAGCTTAAATATGATCAAGACTGTTTTTTCTATAATATAAAGATAGCCAACCAATTATTTTGTGTGCTGTTTTCGAGAAACTAATCATCGACTAACAGGCTTATAATTTCTGTTCGATACAAGTTTTTTTAAACGTATTTCATCATTTTAAGCATATGTTCCAGACCTCCTAAATGGCACTATGACGCCACCAACGACATAGGCTTGATCAAGTTGGACTCTCCCCTCATGGATCCGGCTTCCCTTATCCCCCTCTGCAATAGAAGACCTCCCCCCGGAGGAATGTATGGGATGTGTGGTTTGGGTACTACTGATCTGCGTTGCAAACAGAGGTGATCGCCCAATAGTGTTGAAACATGTCGTTCTAAGCTATGATCAGATATTATACATAAATTTTCATCAAAAATCCTATCGGGATCTTGTTAACTATCCCCCCCTATGGTACCTTGTAACGAATCCCCCCATATTGCAATGGGGGGGGGGGGTGTTAACAAGATCCCCCTATCCGCTTCTGAAACAAAAACAATGAAACATTTTTTGATTTTTGTTCCGACTTTCGATACGAAAGTAACGGAATATTTGTGCTCGGGGTGGGTTTTTTTTCTTGAGACAAATTTGGACTTTTTAACTAGCCATTTTTGACGGATTTTTTATATCATTCGAAAGCTATTGTTGTCCTGAGCTCAAATTTGAAAAGATATTTCACCTGTGATCATTTTTCATAACGTTATGGGGGTTTAAGGTTTGCTATTTTGGCCAATTTGGGACAATTAACGCGCTATTAACGCGTAAGCGGATAGTTAATCCGTCTTAAAAATCGTTCCAAATTGGCTGAAAGAAGCTTATTTGCCATAATTGAATTGTTAAAAGGAGCGAAATCTATCCTTTTGTACTTATGATGGCGTGTGGGGGGATGATTTTCATAAAGAATTTCAAATTTTAGAAAAAAAAATTTAATTTTATTTTATTACATTTAATTTTTTGATGTTATTACTGCTCCAATAAACCATAAAAGGCAGTCGGAACATTCAGGACTTCGCCCTGATACGAGCAGTTTTGTTGCGCATTGAATTTCAATTTTCAAAGCAAGCTTAACGTTATGTAATGAAATTTGGCAGATTTATTTTTCATACTTTCTCGCATCGTTACCTCCCACAATTAGCCTTAGTGGGCGACAAGCTGCTATGAAATCGAATATTTGCTATGTAGGTCAATTAGAGGAAAAGGGTCCCAATTTCCCTTAACTTTGTTTTAATCTAATTTCAGTGCCGACGTGCTTCAAGAGACAATTCTGCGGGAAAGAGTTTTGACTATTTGGGACATCAATGATGACGAGTACTTTATGAGTGTAATACATATGGAAAATACAGGTTACTTTTCATGTAACATTCACTTATGGTAAATTTTAGCAGCATACAATTTCCTGTAAAACAACAAATAGCAATTTTATTTCGCAATTAAACGGGCAATAACAATGTTATTCCGACTTTCTAAAGAAAGTGACAAAAACGAAATGTTTGTTCTCGGTGTGGTTTTTTTCTTCGAACGAATTTTTAACTAGCCATTTTTCCCGAGTTTTTTTTTCTTTTTGCAATTGAAAAGTACTGAAAATTTGATATTAAATTGCCAACAAGACTGCTCGTATATCAGGGCAAAGCCCTGAATATTTCGACGGTCCCCTAAATCATATCGAATAGTTTTTGAGGAAAGAAATTATTGAAAATCTATAAGTTCTGGAGAACATCAAAATGCGAATTTTTGAGGCGTTTAAACAAAATTAATGCGACCAATTAACTAGCGTCAACTCAATTTGGAACGATTTTCTTGTGCGCGATAATTCGCCACGCATAAACAATTCGAGTTACGCTCTCAACGTTGCGAATAAACTCTTCAAAGCGCGCATAATTTAGTCTAGAAAATGGCCAATTTGACAATTTTTAAACCCCCAGAATTTTACAAAAATTATCGGAGGTAAAATATCTTTTTAATTTTGAATTTAGAAAGTCGATATCTTCAATTGGGTATAAAAAATTTTGTTGAAAAATATTATTTCGATCGGCGAAAACTGACTGAACAAAAAAAACACACCGAGCATAAACATTCCGTTTTATTTCGAAAGTCAGAACAAAAAGATTTAACCGACTTATTCACATGCAATAACTTTCCTCAAAATCTACTGGTTTGAAATTTGCTATTTTGTCAATTTGGAATAATTAACGAGCAATGTATACGGTGTAGTAATGCATAAGCCGCAAATTAATCAAGCTTAGAACTCAATCCAAATTAAAAATGAGGCAAGCTACCGCGTTTCTGTTGATTAATTTGCATTTTTCATAACGGGTGATCATTTTGCCAAAAAAAAACATCCAAGTTTGTTTTTTTTTTCAAAAAAAAAGAAACGATTTTTTGACCAGAAACTATTACGTTGCTTAATAGAAGCGTAATAGAAAAAAAGCACTCAAAACTACGCTCTATAAAATGGCTATTTTAGCATAAAAAATCCTAAAATTTATTTCAGAAAAACATGAAAAAAGTATTCAATATCAGACTTATTTAAAGCAAATTTAAAAATAACAGTACTTTCAAATAAAGAAAAATTAGGCAAACTGAAAACCGAATATTTTAAGCTTATAAAACTGCATCAGATAAACCAATTGGCTTTTCATTAAAAAATGGAAAACCACCCATCCTAAATCTAAACGAAATCCAAATCTCACCTAAAGTCTTCTTAAACTATGATTGAGCATGAAATTCCTTCAACATGGAAACATAAAACTCCTAAAACATACAAAAAGTTGAAATAATTTGCTTATTAGTATAAAGTATAATGTATAAAGTAAGTTGATGCACATGAAGAAACGCGCAAGATATTTGAGCACGATTTGGTTTTTCCTTCTGAAAACTTTCAAATTTAAATTTACATTCAGTCTACAAAAAAAGATTTTTAGAAATCAACAAACAATTTTTACCAGCAAAAATAGGGAAAGGAAAAAACAAAGATGGGATGAGATAACTTTTGCGGTTTGGCCAATTTGTGAAAGTTAAAACGCCTTACATTTCTTTCTTATTTTAAGTATTCGAAAACTCAATTAGGCATAAACTTCATTCAATTCAAAACGAGGCATCCTATTAATCTAAATTTTGATTTTATAAAAGCAACCTAAACTTATTAAAGAAAATTGAGGCAGAAATTTCAAAAAAAAAATGTTCCATGATTATTTTTCAACACGTTCAAAGGCACTCAAAACAATTGAGAAGCCTTGATTTTCTCTGTAAAATTCAAGCTGTATGAATGGTAGTTGAGTTGTCACACTTGAAGTTTGACAACTCAAGAATTCAAAGTTGCTGGAGAATTTCGAAAACGCGCATACAAGTTAAATCGCAGATTTAGAAAAACGCGCTTGACTTTTATCTTTGTAAAATACTCATGTGTAAAATTAAACTGATTAAAAAAAACGAATTGATTACGTAGCTTTAATTTTTTTCTAACACACTGTTGACATGGCTAGATCTAAAGGCCATTTTTTGTAAAGGTTAAAAAAAACGGAGGGTTAAAAAAAACATTCTAAAAATCTGGTAAAAATTTAATTGTAACTAGAAAAGTGAAGTTTTAGACCTGTTTCTTGAAGTGGGTTGGTTATGATTACCTAAAACTTTTTCGAGGAATATTTTTTGCTCGGCAATACCGCACCCTAGGACATCCAGGTGTTTGCTCAATCCCAACACAAAAAAAATGCTAAATCATCAGCAAATTTGCTTGTCAATCGATTGCACTTCAATCAATTCCACGAAATTTAATAGGGCAAATTTTTTGGAAGCGGCAAACACACAAAACAAGCGATTTGATAAGTGCTTTGCACTTCGGAATTTTGATGTGGTTAAACAAGGAAATATATATTCAATAGCCAGGCTAAGCTGGCACCTTGAGAGGAGTGTTTTAAACTTTGATAAGCTTAAGAAAAATGATTGCAGCCATCAAGTTCAAATCAAGTCGTCTAGGTCAATTCTGCGAGGATAGAAAATCTAGGCGGTAAAAACAGATTTTATGAAAAATTGGGATTTCGGCCGTTGAAATTGTTTGTTTTTGCTCGCTGGCATATTAGTTGAAATATTATTTACGAGTAATGTAGAAAAATATTATATAATAGTTTTTTCTATTGGAACATGTATAGTTAACCAAGTAAAAAATATTAATTTTACTGCAAGTGAAAAAACGCAACTGAGTTAAATAATCCCCTTCTTTCTTGGAAAGTGGAAACAACAATCGTGTTTTCGTTTCAGTTATGAACAGTTGCACAAATAGGGGCGACAGTGGGTCCCCCCTCTTCCTAATCAGCACCGACGGGTGTGGTCGGGCCCAGTGTCTGTACGGAATAACATCACACAGGACACGAAAATCAGAAATTATGAAACGTGACTCATCTTATTTAGCCAATATGTATTTTGTGAGCGTGCCGAGATTTTATAAGTGGATTACCAAAATTGTTAACGAAAACTATCGAACTTAAAATTTATTTCCTTTTTGATTAAAACTTTATGCTCTGTTGCATTGTAACAAATTACCTAACTCCCGTACCTAGTGAATGTCCTTAACCCAGATCTGAAATAATCTGAAAACAAAAAATTTCAGATGTGAAGTAATCTCTGCAAAATTTTAAAACAACGCTTGAATACATTAAGAATGGGTTTTATCAAACTTTATTTCAGAACTAAAAAAAATCCGTTTCAGATCTAACTGCAGATCAGACTTTTTTATTGTTATTTCTGATCTTAAAAAATCAATCTTTCTGAGACAATAATTTGCTTTTTTAGGTAGTTTAATTTATAGCTTCTGCTAGCTACTAGCAGGTACTTAGAAAAATTTCTTATCGGAGACTGCTGAAATTTGTTTCCCAGTACAATAGATAGAGATCGGAAAAGCATCATTATTGAAGCTCGGAAGTAATTTTTAGTAGACATAATTTGATCTTCAACCAAAACTTTTAGTGACTTTCCAAAACATCATCAAGATATACAACAAAAATATAAGAAATTGTGTATATGTGTGTGCTGTGTATGAGCCTGGGCTCCTTTTCCTTCCCTCCCATACTGCGGAACTGCCCAAGTAAAACGCTTGTTCTTACGTTCCGATTGTTGTGAAAAATGACAAGCAGACTAATTGAGCCATATCCACATCAAACATATTTGGTCTCAATATGTAATTTTTTGCCTCTTTTTTTCAGTTTTCCACCCCCTAGTAAAGTTATTAAAATACAGCTGCGCAAATTTGTTCACAGACAATTTTGCATGTAAAACATTTGTAATAATTTGTTCACCCCTAACGCTGACACGCTGTAGTGCAGGTTATAACAAAAAAGTGCGTTTAAATAAACTTTCTTGTATCGATTTTTGGAAAAAAAATAAGGGAAAAATGGAAAACAGCCAGCCTTTAAAATACCTCATTACTAAAAAAAATGATGCTCATGTGACCCGGCGGAAAAAAAGGAGCCTGTGAATGTTACCAAATGCATCATAGGATAATGTTTGTAGGGCCGTGAACCAAAATTTTTTCGAGTGTGTGAATAATTTCAGAAATTTCTAATTTGGTTCAAAACTTGTGGAAAAAACGTTCAAAAAAGGCAACAAGTAGAATTTATTGTTTTCAAAACAAGCTTTGCTGATCGTTTCCCATAGATAGTTAGAAGTTAGCTCGTGCATACTTATTGATGATTTAATTTTAATTCTAATTTAAACTATCATTGCAGAAATTTTCTAAAATACTCTTCAAACATCGATTTAGAAAAAAAGTTACAGCTTTTTTTATCGTTTTCAGCGTCATGAACATTAATTTCATGATGCAACGAAAGAGTTTGAAAAATTGAAATTTAAATTTGTTTATCATGACTTAAGTAGTCCGCATGATAATTTTTGTATCAATCGGACAATATTTAAAAACGTTTGCTGGTGGCGCTAGAGAAAAAAAACTTGCTTACTATTTTAATGCGAGCTCTTTGTTGTTGCAGTTTGACCAACTGCTATGGAGTTTGTGGTTTATTCTCAAACTAAAGGTTTATGGATTTTTATGTTTACCTCACTCGCAAAAAAAATACTGGGTCACAAATGACAAAAATGCTATTCTGAAATGTTGATGTCATGTGCTCAATGTTGATCCAGGCGGCGAATATTGAATTGTGAATACAGCGATTCAAATTATTGTGAATACAGCGATTATCAGTTGTTTTTAGCTATAGACATTGAGTTTTCTACGGAAACTTATGGTAAAAACAGTGTTGCTTGCAATGTTGTCAATCCAGGAGATAGAATTTAAATTTTCATACAAAAAATTGTGCGATTGCATTTGAATTAATTCCCCAAAATTTCATGTGGCAAGTAACTTAATAAATGCTAATTATTTTTTCGGAATTTGATAGCGTTTAAACAAGGAATGAAAATTCATGAGCCAGGCTAAGCTGGCACCCGGAGAAAAAAATCTCAAAATATGAAAAGCTTAAGAGAAATGGTTGCAGCTATCGTGTTCAAATCAGGTAGTCACAGTCAATTCTCTGGAGGATATAAAACAATTTTCGTAAAAATTGGCTCTTCGCTCGAGGAAATCGTGAGGAGAAAAATTTATTTGCTTGAAGATG